GAGCCCAGCTGTTGGTCACCAGAGCAACTGGAGTTAGCAAGCAACCCACACCTGCCAGCGGTCAGCTGACTGAAAGGGGCAGGGCCTGACTCCCTTATAAACCCTAGGGGCTGAAGCCGGGAGAGCAGTTCCCTGCCAGCAGCCAAGGGGGGAAAGCGCTCTCCCTGAGCAAGGACAGAGAAGAGGCCTGACCACAGGTACAGCCCAGAGACTGGTAAAGGATGGAGCACCCCTGAGGTGTCTTGAATAATGATGTTATAGCTGGGCAGCTTCAGTTTATGTTATAGCCAAGGGGCTTGTGTTTTGTTTACTGTTTAAAACCGGTGGCTTGGGTGAGGCTATAAGGGGATGGAGGAGGCCTCATAGGGGATCCATGGCAATGTGGAGACCCCAGCCTTAGAGAGGGGGCGGCAACAGAAGCCCCCGAGAGGGGGTCGTGGAGGGCCCGAGTGAGCATAGAGCGAGGCGGGGGGCCGCGGAGGGCCCAGGGAGGACAAGGGGGCCAAATTATAACAAGGCCCAGACCAAACAACATTAGTTCCATCTGTGAGGCTTGGGGCATGGTAAAAGGGTGGTTGGAGCCACGCATAGCCCATAAGGCTAGGGTGTCCTGAAACACCCATTGTAGAACAGGACCCACAAGGGGTCCAGGCATCCATGGGGTCAGATACTACAGCAAACTATGTCCAAGAGGACATAAGACAGCCTCCCTAATATATATTTACCATCAAAGACGTGGCGGGTGAGAATCGAGGGTACCCAATGGGCCAACTTGGCACGGTAAGGGGGCCTTGGGGAGATCACGGCCATCCCGCAGGACCCCGTGCCATGACAAACATACATACGTATCCAAATCCATGGGGTCAGATACTACAGCAAACTATGTCCAAGAGGACATAAGACAGCCTCCCTAATATATATTTACCATCAAAGACGTGGCGGGTGAGAATCGAGGGTACCCAATGGGCCAACTTGGCACGGTAAGGGGGCCTTGGGGAGATCACGGCCATCCCGCAGGACCCCGTGCCATGACAAACATACATACGTATCCAAATCATTTGATGAGTAAAAAGCATACTGGCAAAGTTCGTGGATGACACCAAGTTATGGGGGAGTGCAGTCACACTGGAAGACAGGCTGACCTGGACAGGCTTGCAAGGTGGACAGATCAAAACCTAATGATGTTTAAAAAAAAAATGTAAAGTGCTCCATCCGGGGAGAAATAATCCGTAACATATTTACAGGCTCGGTGGTGCTACGCTAGCCAGCACCACAACTGAAAGAGATCTAGGGGTCATGATCGACCACAGAATGAACATGAGCTACCAGCGCAATGCTATAGCCAGCAGAGCGAAACATACGCTGGCATGCATCAACCGATGCATCTCAAGCAAGACTAAGGATGTCATCCTCTCGCCCTACTCGGCACTGGTGAGATCATTGCTGGAGTACTGCATCCAGTTCTGGATGCCATACTCCAAGAAGGATGTAGAGAAGCTTGAAAGAGTCCAAAGCAAGGCCACATGAATGATTACCGGTCTGGAAAACAGGCCACAAAAAAGGAGAGGCTGAAGGACATGGGACTGTTCAGCCTGAAGAAGAGAAGACTTAGGTGGGGGACTTGGTGGCAGCCTAAGTATATAAGGGGCAAACATCAGAGGCTGGGAGAACATCTGTTCACCAAGGCACCCCAAGGGAAGACGAGGTATAATGGACAAACTCCTAGAAGATTGCTTCAGATTGGATACAAGGAAAAACTTTTTTACAGTTCGAGTGTCCAGAGTCTGGAACAGACCCCCCCCCTGCGAGATGGTACAGTCACCTACCCTGGAGATCTTCAAAAGACTGGACTCATACGTTGCTGGGGTCATCTGACCGCAGCAATCTTTCCTGCCTAAGAGCAAGGGGGCTGGACCGGATGATCTCCAGAGGTCCCTTCCAGCCACTAATTTCTATGAATCTATGGAAATACCAGATAGTGGGCACTTCTACGTGTGCATTAATGTACAGCACTAATATTTACTGAACTAAGTGCACAACAAAAAGCATTACTGCAAAGTAGCATCAACCCATGCATTTTAGGTGACACTAATGTGCAATGGACTAATTCTACTGAGCAGTAGCACAGGCTTTTCCCACCGTGCTACTGCACAGTAGAAATGGTCTACTGCACTTGAAACGTCTCTCGTAGACTTGCCCAGCATGTCCCTGAACTGAAAATACTGCTGCTAAAACTGACCTTTGCCAATTTATTAAAAAGTCTACATTGTTTCAGGGCTAGTAAATCTAATACCGCTGAAACGAGCAAGGGAAACAGCTCATGCCAAGATAAACAAGCAAAAACCCTTTCCATGTAACTGAGGCAGACAAGGTTCTTTGGGTAGATGTCATATCTTTTTATTAAACCAACTGAATAGTTCCATGTAACTGAGTCACTGTAGATAGAGCTTTCCTGCTTTGAACCACAATAGTCTCAGCTAAACACCTTCCATAGGTGAAGCTGGCCAGGTTTGGCTGTCAGGTGTAATAAGGCTGGGTCCAAGTAGGGCTTGTGACCACACTATATTTGGTAGCAGCAGCAGCCTGGAGATCCATGTCACTGCCACCAAGAAGAACAGTCCCATGCACCTGTTTTCAGGAGGCATGCTGGAGTCAAACCAAGAAAAGCTGCAGCAGAATTGATGTGCCCGTCTCCATAACACAAGCAGGTGTGCCTTTCTGCTGCTGCCACTTATCAGTTCAACTCTGACAAGCCCCCTGAAAACAGAGGCACGCAGGACAGTTCCATCTGCCCCACATGCCTCTATTTCCGTGAGACACTGGAGGATCAGATCAGGAAGAGCTGCAGCAAGCTGTCTCATATGCTCCTACCACAGCTGCTGGTGAATAATTATAATTAGCTAGTTACTAACATTGTTTTAAATGTTTATATTAGAATATGCATAATATACTTACTTTAGTGTGCTTGGGGTTTTTTGTTTTTACTGGGATGCTGCTAAATTTTGAAAAGTTTTGGAGGGGGACTTTGCTTAAAAAAGTTGAGAACCAAGGCAAGCAAGGTGATTGGGGCCCTGCATTGAGAGAGACTGACACATACCATGGCTGTATCACTCTAGCACCTCAATGTCTTCTGTGTCACAGAGAAGGTATACAAAGGGTTGCCCCAGCCCAGCCTGGCTCCCTGGGTGGGCAGGTGTGAAGGGCTGTTGCAGCTCAGTTTCATATGTGGTAGGATCGGAAGGGACCTGAGCAGATCATCAAGTCCAACCCCCTGCCATGACCCAGAAAGAGTACTGGGGTCAAATGACCCCAGCAAGGTGTTCATCCAGCCTCCTTTTAAAGACCGCCAGGGTAGGAGCCAACACCACTTCTCTTGGAAGTTGGCTCCAGATCCTAGCTGCCTTGACAGTGAAGTAGCACCTCCTGATATCTAGCCTGAATCTACCCTCTGCCAGCTTGAGACTTATTTCTGGTCATTCCTGGTAGTGCTCGGGGGAACAGGGACTCCCCCAATGCCTGCTGGAACCCCCTGACTAGTTCATAAATGGCCACTAGATCCCCCCCTCAGCCTTCTCTTGTGGAGGCTGAACAGGTTCAGGTCCCTTAGCCTCTCCTCGTAGGGCCTGCCCTGATGACCCCTGATCATGCGGGTGGCCCTCCTCTGGACCCTCTCTATGTTGTCCACATCCCTCCTGAAGTGCAACGCCCAGAACTGGACGCAGTACTCCAACTGCTGCCTGACCAGTGCCGCATAAAGAGGGAGGATCACCTCCTTGGTCCTGCTTGAGATGCATCTGTGGATGCACGACAAGGTGCAGTTCGCCTTCCTGACGCGTCCCCACACTGTCGGCCCATGTTAATTTTGGCATCAATAATGACACCAAGATCCTTTTCTGCCTCTGCACTGACGAGAAGGGAGTTCCCCAGCCTGTAGGTGTGTTACTGGTTCTTCCTCCCCAGGTGCAGTACCTTGCACTTAACAGGATAGGTTTCAACACTGACCTCACCCACTCACCCTTGTAACCTGTCCAGGTCCGATTGCAGCCTATTCCTCCCTTCTAGCATGCCCACTTCTCACCACATCTTAGTGTCGTCTGTGAATTTGAACAGGGTGCTTTTTACCCCCCCATCCAACTCACTGATAAAGTTGTTGAACAGTGCAGGCCCAAGGACCAAGCCCCGGGGAACCCCACTGCCCACATTCCTCCAGGTCGAATAAGACGTATCCACCACCACTCTCTGGGTGCGGCCCTCCAGCCAACCAGTGACCCATCTGACTGTGGTGTCAATGCCTGCACAGCCTCCTAGTTTTTTAATGAAAATGGGGTGAGAGACAGTGTCGAAGGCCTTCCTAGAGTCCAGAAAGACTACGTCCACTGTAACACCTGTGTCTAAGGATTTTGTGACCTGGTCATAGAAGGCAACTAGGTTGGTCTGACAGGACCTGCCTTGAATGAACCCATGCTGGTTGCCCCTAAGCATAATCTCCCCTGCTGCCCCTCACAGACATGCGCCAGGATAATTCTCTCAGAAAGCTTACCCAGGACTGAGGTAAGACTAACTGGCCTATAGTTTCCCGGGTCCTCCTTCCTCCCTTGTTTGAAAATGGGAATCACATTGGCCCTTTTCCAGTCCTCTGGCACAACACCAGAGTACCATGAGTGCTCATAAAGCCGTGCCAGGGGTCCCGCAATGACCTCTGCTAATTCCCTCAGCACTCTGGGGTGGAGATCGTCAGGACCTGCTGATTTAAATATGTCTAGTCCCACCAGAAGTTCCCTGACTAGGTCCTCACTGACCCTAGGCCTGGGCGCACCTCCCCTGGGGCCTGCGGGGGTCCCGGTATGGGGGTGACCCAGCTCATTTTGACCCTTTCAGTTCGTTAGCTGAAACTACTGGATCCAGCCTGGCTCCCCAGATGGGCAGCTCCAGTGTATGGGCAATAGGAAACAGACCAGAATCCCTTCCATATCAAGACATGCTGGGACTGCAGAAGTGTTTGGACTAGAGCAGATTTCTAGGTTCCATCTTTGACGAATTACATTTACTAATCTTACCTGCCCTTATGGCTGGGTAATTCAAACAACTACTCCACATTCCAGCCTGGCTCCCTGGACAGGTAGCGCAAAGGGCTGCGCCAGGGGGCATGTTCTTGCCACAGCCCTTTTCTGGTCTGACCCTCATGCTCCTCCCAGAAACAGAGGGGACACAGGACAGATGCACCCCCTGCCTGATGCACCCGTTTCCTGGCCCAACCCCCGCCACATACTCTTTCTGGAAGGGCTACAGGAAAATGTGGGCTCCAACCACAGCTTCTGCCAAGTCTTCCTTCACAGTAGTTGTGCAAAGCAGTTCAGCCTGGCTGCAGCAGCATCCACAGAAGGGGTGTGTAATCAAGTCTTATTTTTTTGAAGTCTTCAAAAAATAAAGCACACATCTCATGTTTTGAGATGTTTAAGGTGGGGGGGGGGGAAAAAAGAGTCATGCATGGAAAAAAGTGTCTATTACTGGGGTCTCGGTCCTAATACTTGGAATGGAATTGCCCTTCTCTGGAATATGAGATAAAAAAAGAACTAGAAGGAGGCTTGAGATTTAGCTACATCATCCTTACCCATGTGTAGGGATAAGTATTTGGTCAAAAATTTGGTCAACTAGCCAGTCAATTAGTGTTACGTAATGGTCAAATATTTTAACCATGACTTTAGTAGAATAATGGAGAGAAAGGCAAGACATTAATCTTCAGGAAGTTAGATATTTATGCAAAATACAAAAACAAACAAGTTAACTAGTATTCAATTCTATAATTTTTTTTTTTTTTTTTTTTTTTTTTTTTTTACAACAACAAATGTTTGAACATAAATGTGAATGATATTCTAGACTGAACAGTTCTTGTTTTCCTTTCCTTTTATCCCCAAACTCCAGGGTGAGACAGAGGCAGACAGGCAGGCTTGGGTTCAACACTATATATGTGAGAAATAAAACAGACATTGCAACTCTGAAAGACAAGAGTCAGTTTTTAAAATGCAGTTATGCTAAGCAGACAGCCAACTCTTCAAGCAAATTCATTATTTTTTCTTCTACAGCAGATGCTTACAAACAGTGGATATTTCCATTTTTGCATTTATATGCCCAGGAAGAAAGTAACTCAAACCAAGAAGAGGGTTAGCCTGCAAACCCATCATTTCCAGAGGTCCCATAAACATCAAAGCTGCAAGTTAAGCATTTGTTATGAGATTCAAATGTATACTACTAATCCATGTGGATCGGCAACTTCTGCCTGCTTATACAGGTTGTTAATCCCCTGGTTTGTGAGGGGGAAAAAAAAAAAAAAACACACCACACTTTGTATAGGACCAGACTGCTTTTAACAGCTGATCTCATATCACTCCCTCAAAACCTAAACTGGAGTCTTATCTTAAATTTTTAAGCTGAATTTGTAGCATATTCTAAAATCTAAGGTTTGGAAGATTCATACCGTCATGACACTAATATTATATTGAAGGTTCTATTAAAGACATACCTGGACTAATATACAAATCTACTATATCACTTTGACTTGGAATAACAACTCTATACTAGGCACCATCATAAATAAACAAGCATCTTACTGCTGAGATAAACTTAGGTAACAAAGAGATCTACAAGGGCCATTAACACCCAAGAACATACACAATCACAACACAAACTCACCTGGTGACAGGGAGCATTCATTCCCAAACAACAAATTAACTACTCAGTGAACTTGATATTTAATAACCCTTACATTTCATTTTACACAGCAAATGAGACTACATGCTGATGAATCCTTAAATGACGGTTAATAGACAATACGCTAGGCTAGCTCATAGAGAAACAATTCTGCAAGAGCAGAAAGCATTTATATGGAATGCTCAAGTTTCAAAAATGGGTTCAGAAGAGACTGAGACAGCCTCACTCGACCATGAATTTAAGCATGAGAATTTGAGGATAGTGATATTTCTCTTGAGTTTTGATGCAGAAGGCAACTCTTCTAGTTGTTTTGCCATTGCCAAACTCCAATTTAAAAAGCCAAATGATACAGGTAGCTGCAGAGAAATCTTGTCCTAGCATTTAAAGGAAGAGTTAGTCATTCATTACATGTTAAAAGAAGTTTTGTGGCTAATTCTGCGATACTGCACTTTCCAGCATTCATTCTATTGAAATTCCTATGCAAGTACAAGTCAAATCAAAAGGTAGAGATTTTTTTAAATAACTGTTTCAGTAACCACCTACTGCAAGTCAAGATATATATACCAGAAACAGTGAAGTGATACAGAGTTGCCAAAGCATTTTGAAACTGCACATCCAAACCAAAGGCTGAATTTTAACTCTCAGATGTTCTAATGTAGCTGGCCTCAAATAGATAGTTCCATCCTGAAATATCACCATCAAGATATATTTTATTCTATCCCATTCAGCTTACATGCCACCTTCCCCAAAAAGGCTCAGGATAGATTACAACAAGAAAAGAATAACTTATAAAACAGGAGAGTCTCCACACAAATCTCACCCAATGGCCTCATATACTCATCAGAAAGGAGGGGTGACAAGAACCCCTGAGAAACCTCAGAGAAAAGGTCCCATGAGAATGAGCACTGGCCCATCACCACCTTCAGGGAAAGAACAGAATCAATTTATGATGGTCCTATGAATAACCACCAGATTATGAACATTTTCAGCACCTCATGGTCAACAGTGATGAAGGCCACCAAAAGATCAGCAGGACATGATCTTCCTTGTTGATCTCCCGGAGAAGATGTGTAGGTATATTAATTAAGGAGTCAAAATTATTATTGGGTAATCAGGAAAAACAATAAGCACCTAAGAAAGCATTTGATTACTTAAGAATTACTTAAGAGCTAAAATTAAAGTTACCATTTCTAACACAATTCAGATATTTGAAAGCATTTTTGCCACATATGAGCACTAATAGTGGTTCAAGAAGCTTTAGTTGCTAGTATTGCCATGTGATCCTCCCAAGCCTTTAAAAAAAGTAGTCTTTGGTCACAAGTGCTGAGAGTTGTCATTTCAGAAGATCTGTCTCATATCAAAACAGGAAGTACTAAAAAAAAAAAAAAAAAGTAACGTCTTGTTAAAGTGGTAACCGGCTGTAAAACTATCTTCAGACCTGTATAAGATATCGGCATGGCCCTTTTACCAGACCCAAAGTAAAACTGTGAAGCCATGCTAGGCTCAAATGATGCAGAAAAGAAACTAACCCCACCTTGTCACTTCAAACCACAGAGCTGAACCCAATCACAAACCCACTTCAGAATATCTGTATACATGTTCCAGGGAGCCCTCCGATGTCATCAGGTGAAGCATGTAATACTTGCATAAGAAAAACTAGTTGGCTAACCATGAACATGTACCCTGCTTTCTCACTATGAGGGTGGTTGAGTATTAGAACAGGCTTCCCAGAGAGTTTATGGGATCCCCATCCTTGGAAGTTTTCAACAGCACGGCAGACGCACACTGGACTGGGATGTTAACCTGCAGATGATCCTGCCTTGAGCAGGAGGTTGGACTATATTAACCTCCCAAAACAGAGGGCTCCGTCAAGCCAGGCCTAGTCCATATCCTGCTCTTTAGGACTTTCCCCAGAAAGAGGAAATTGAACTTGGCTCAATTTCCTTGATGAACAGACAGCCACTACTAGACTATTACGAAGGGGGGAAAAAGCCATAATCCTCATAGGATGACTTAAGAGTTGCATCTTTCAGGCTGTGAATCCCAGTCTCACATAAGTGCTTAACTGGGTTGCAAGGCAGTGTTTTCTTCCAGATGTAAGGTGGGATTTCAGACAAATGCAGCTCTTCAGCATTTTGTATTAGCTGGCATAAATATCCCCCTGGTCTGCAGGCTGAGTGTAGCACATTACAATCCTAGGCAGCTAACTCTCTCCACATAAAACTACCTTCACCTCAACTTTTCGGATCCCACAGCTCACCTGTCCCACTCCTACAAACCACTTTCCCCTAAGCCTCCCCCTCCATCTCAGAGCCTACCTCATTCACAATCCACTTGCTAAGTATCCTGAGTGCCAGACTAATCCTGCATGAGCTCCTGACAGAAGCAACATAGCCATATTTGTGCACACTGAAACTAAACAAGTTAGCTCTGCCACTTACTTGGACTAAATTAGCTTGTCCATAGCACCATACTAAGGCAGCTTTGCCTCTTTCTATGCTAGAGCTAATGCACAAAGCACAGCCTGGCATTGCCAATGCCTGAGGGAAGAGGGTCAGCCAACTGTCCCTTTTGCATCTGCCTTAGTAGTCCAGCTCTAAAGCCCACCAATTGAGAACTACTGGTACAAGGACCATGAGGTTTGTGAATTCCACTCCCACAGCCAGATGCCTAAAAGTTAGGCCCAACAAGAAGCACTCATGCACCTAAACTCCATTTTTGGATTTGGGTTAGGGCCTGAACAGTGTCATGGTAAGAAGTTAACACAAAATACAATGCACGGAGTTAGTATAGAAATGGGGGGGAAGGGGGCAGCAGGGCTTTAAAAAAAAGAGATGCACATGGCCTTGGCCATCAAGCAATAGAAAAAACCTGTGCAAAGACTTGTGTTAAATATTTGACTACACAAAATTTCTTCCATTGTTTTTAATAAAAAGGGATTTGCTCATTTGGCGTACAGAAAATCAGACAGCAGCATACAACAGAAAAAGAATACTGAACTAGATGCATGATCACTCAGTGTTCCTTTTAAGTAACTTATGGTTAAAGAAACAAGAAGAGAGAGAAAGAGCTCCTTCAGAAGGCAATTACACTAAAACAGAAGGGTATGAAGCTGGCATTGTCCTTGATTCCACATATTCTTACAGTAAATACTTCCTGCCACTCTGGCCACACCCAGTAGAATCCACTTCTATCTCTAAAGGATTCTGAAAAAAAGCAATGTTTTAAATAGCACAGAAAGAAGACCCTGAACGGTTTTCTAGAATTCCAGTCCAGGGTTGGCACTCCTGGGTCTTCATTCAATTTTCCAAGTAAGACCCCGATCATCAGGGAAGATCAGATATGCAGTATGCTGAAGCCTGAATACAAAATACTCCTCTCAGAGTGCTGGAGTAACAATACAAAAAGATACCCCCTGCCAAAACAAAAACAAAACAAAACAAAAAAAAATCCTTGCCTCTCCTCTCTAAGGCAGCATTCCTTGGCAATGCCTTTATTAGCCAAGCCAAGAAAAAGGATGACTACATTGCAAACTGCTGTGACCTGAACTGCCATATAGCCAACCAAGAAGAAAGAAATCTAAGAATTAATATTCCATGCAGGAAAATAATTAACTAATAGGTAAACATCCTTGGAGTACATCATTTCCAGTCCCATAATGTTTGGGAAGCCAATTTACAAAAGACGCCCTCCCCATCACTACATGCTTTCTTCCATATCCAACTCTGCCAACCCAGACAAAGATTTTTCATCTAAAATGAATATATAAAAATCTTCTTATGAACACATTAGTATTACCTATAAAATAGGTTAGAAATAGAGCTGCAATTTAATTTAGTGTCCCCCTAAACACTGGTTAAGGCTACTGCAAATGTTAAACAGATGGATCTAAAACTGGGATACACGCATCCCCAAGGTATGCAGCACTTTGCCAAGGGGCACGTGCCTAAAATCTAACAACAGTGATAGAGTTTCTGATCCGTCAATGCAGTGAGAGTAACAGGTTGGAGGCAACACTCTTCCTAAGGAATAAACATGCAGAGACGCATCAGGTGCAGGGGTTATGAGCAGAAGTATTTTTCAGGTATAAGTTCTATGCAGCTAGAAAGTTTTAAGAACACTGATCTAAAATAAAATATTTTGTAAATTCAAACACATAACTATAAACTGTTTTATCTTCACTTGCATCTCAGCTACAAAACCCTTGTAAACCACAGACCATAAGAGAAATCAGCAGACCTTAATGTCAAGCAAGACAATCCATCTATCAAGATGAATGCATCATGGAAAAAATTATCGGAGGGAGGCACCACCCTATTTCAGCTTTCTGCATATGAAGTTACTAGGGTTTTTCCCAACTTTTCTACCCAACTGCTGCCTCTGCTTGTAATGCCCATAAAGAGTGTTTGGGGGAAGACTACTTTTATTGCCTATGCAGGCACCAACAGTTGTCTCCCCAGGATACTCCAAGCCTCTAGAGACACTTGCCAATTCTCATTTCTCAAGAGCCACAAATGCAAACTAACTGAACAGATAGGCTATATCTTGTACCTTGCTGGATTTAACATCTCTAGTGGAAAAGTGGTTATTTCAAAGAAACTAAGCACATATAAACAAGGAACACTACCTAAAGTAAAACAGTTTGGTTCATCATCACTAGGGGCACAAAATGATTTGCTTTTCTTTTTCTTTCTACACTTCAAGCTTATGTGACCCTTCATTTATTTCAGGGGTGGCCAACCTGCTGCAAGGGTGCTACAAGTGACCCAGACAGCCTCTGTGTGTGTGGCACACGGCAGATTGGGAAGGGGGCAGGCAGCACAGTGGCAGACAGGACAGAAAAACAGAGCACTGGATCAGGAGGGAGCATAGGGCAGAGAGCAGAAAGCAGAGCAGAAGCTTGGGGAAGGGAAAGGGATCAGAGTGGCACTCAAGGAGGGAACAGGGCTCAATCTGTGGAACACCTATTAAAAAGGTTGCGCCCCCCACTGATTTTTTCAGTCCTCACACCTCCTAATCAGACTTCCTCCCAAATTATTTCATCCAACTTCAGTTTCATATACGCCAAAAGTTGTGTCAGTACAGCTGTGCCAGCAGATTCTCCTAGCAGAGATACGACCTACTGTATTTTTTCACATGCTACATGCCCTCTGAATAGGACACACAATCTGCTTTTGAAAGG